TTTGGTACCGATACAAAAAAATGCACATTTTTCTCTTAACTGTTGGGTAGGTATGCATGTCTGTATGAATGAATGTATGATCTATGTGTATATTATCCCTATGAATATTTCATTTAGGTCTCAAATTTTTTTATTCTTTTTCCCCATTTATATTAACTGTTCTAGTGTGAAAAAGCTAAGGTACACCTTTAAAAGTAAGCCTCTCTTTCAGAATTGCATATGGAAACTTCCCAAGCTTTTCCCTTTTCTTTTTCTTCCTCCTCCTGTTTTACTTGTTCAACTTTCTCTCTCCATCAGGTAGCCACTATTCAAATCAAGAATGCATGTTGATCTTTCTCTTTGTGTTTGGAAACCTGAGCTGCCTGAGGAAGACACATTCCCATTACTTGTGTTGCGTTCATAGTCTTAGTGCACTCAGCCGGTCTCTCAGTTGAAGCAAGTGAATGAAAGGCAGAACAAAGCACAGTGATTTTGATTTCAGAAGAGCTGACATGGTTTCCTATCTCTGGCTTCTGTTAATACATAACAAGGTTATATAAAATACTCTTTATGTCAAGTTTAATCACCATTTGTATTTTGAACATTTGCTATCATCAAAACAGTGCTAATCTCCCCCTCTGTCTCTTTCACAAGATTGGAAGCATCTGTTAATTTTTTGCAGGCTGTTGGAAAATGGATTAAAGTATCCTAACAGGTTATTGGTGTTGCATTTGTCAACTAAAATTAGTATTAATTACTTTCATTATTCACAAACTGTTAACTTAATAGGGATTAGAGGCCTTTCTGGAAGTATACGAATAGTCTAATTCATTTGGACTGACTTATTATAAAAGTCTGGTTTCACATTTGTTAGCCCTTTGAGGTGATCACGTTTTTGTAGCAGGTGTGTCATATTTTCCAGATATGGCTAATAAACTGGTTTATAAATAATTTTTCAGCTGAATGGACATAGCATTTGGAAATAGTCCATGTATTTTGTACTTAAGAACAACTCAAGCTCAGCTTTCTGATATCATAGTTCAGTGGACAAAGTGCTGGGGTAGCAAGTGGTAAGCTGTGGATTATCACAGTGTCTTGGCTGTGTTCAAGATGTAACTTTGTGTTTCAAACATAATTCTTTTTATACATAAAGGTGTATCAAATGTCCTAAACTACCAGAAAAGCCTACCTTAAGGTGAATGTCTAATTTGTAACAGAAAAATATGAATCTTGGGAATATATGCTAATAGAGAGGCAATTCCCAAGTGGGTTGCAACCTAACTTACACAGAAAATGACATTTGACAAACACTAATTTAGAACAATTATGGAAATGTAGACCAGGAAATATTTCTCTAGGGTCTGTTACCCAGTCATGTGTGTGACTGAGTCTGCTAAAATCTGAAGTCATATGGAAATTATGAAATAGGTGGTGAAGGTCTTGTTTCATTGCTAGAAAATATCACAACATTATCAGTTATAGAGCATTCTCTGCTGGATTGCTGAAGTTTTTGAAATTTATTCTTGTAATGTTGTTAGAAATAGGGGCAAGTGAGATGGCTCAGCAAATATAGTACTGATGACCTGTGTATCCAGTAGACAGAGAGAACTGACTCCCCAAAGTAGTCCTCAGATGATGTCTCTACCAGTGTTGCATGTGCTTGCCCATAAATCAGTTCTCTCTCTCTCTCTCTCTCTCTCTCTCTCTCTCTCTCTCTCTCTCTCTCTCTCTCTCTCTCTCT